GGTGCAACCTCAGCTCACTGCAACTTCTGCCTCTTGGGTTCAAATGATTCTCCTGCCTCAGCCTCCCAAGTAGCCAGGACTACAGGCACGTGCCACCATGCTCAGCTAATTTTTGTATTTTTAGTAGAGACAGGGTTTCACCATGTTGGCTAGGATAGTCTTGATCTCTTGACCTCGTGATCCATCTGCCTCGGCCTCCCAAGTTGCTGAGATTACAGGCATGAGCCACTGCACCCAGCTAATTCTTTATTACCTCTTGCAGCCCCTTCTGGACTTGCAATTCAGTAATAATCCTATTATTTTATTAAGGCAATAAAACCTCATAGAGTAGCACACTTAAAAAAATTTGTTTTCACAGTCATTATCATTTGAGCCCTACAGCAGCCTGACAACAAGTGGACAGGACAAGTAGTATTACCCTCATTTGTTGCTATCCAGAGGGAATCTACACCTGTGTTCTCAGGTTATTGCTGTGGGAAACACATCAAGAGTATGCCCTGTTTTGTGATGTACACACAGGATAGAGCAGCACCAAAGGACTACTTCTATATGTGATGTAGATCCACATTTGGAGTCAGTTTATTCATTCTGCAAATATTAAGTGAATATCTACTACCTGCCAGGCACTGTGCTAGATGGTGGAGGATTGAGATGTGGAAGATTTAGTCTCTGCTCTCAAGGAATTAACTCTCCATAAAGGCTGGATACAAGAAAATAGACTACTGGGCCGTGGGAACCCAGAAGCAGAGGTTCTAACAGGTTAGAGCAGGGGGCAGAGAGGAGGGTGTCAGTGTGTATTGATAATAATAGCTCACACTTACCTGGTGCATACTCTGTTCCAGGCACATTGCAAACACTTTATATGTGTTTCCTCATTTAATCTTCACTTCAACCACTTTTCCTGTTTTATAGATGACAAGGCCACAGAACTGAGGTTGGTACCTTGACTAGAGCACACTATTAGTGAATGGAAGACCTGGAATTTAGACCAATCAATCTGGCTGTGGAGTCTGTGTCTCTTGAAAAGATTTCTCAGACGAGAGGCATCCCAGGCTGTGTCTTGAATGATGGCTTGTAGCTAGACTGGCAGAAGGGTGATTGGGATATGTCTACATGGTTATCTAGGCAGAGGAGTATCACAAGTAAAGGTAAAGAAAGCACATGATTGAGAGCGAGCGTGGCAGGCTGCTTGTGAAAAAAGATGGGCAGTAAGGAATGAGACTAGAAAGACAAGGCTGCAGGATGCAGGGCCTGGCATGCCATCTGAGGAATTTGGGTTCTGTGATCTAATTTTTAAAGTTATACCAAAAATACCACTTTTCCTTTTGTATTAATTTTATTTTTGTTTTGATTTAATTTTTTTTTTTTTAAAGACGGAGTCTCCAGGCTGGAGTGCAGTTGCGCAATCTCCGCTCACTGCAACCTCCACCTCCCAGGTTCAAGCAGTTCTCCTGCTCAGCCTCCCGAGTAGCTGGGACTACAGGCGTGCACCGCCATGCCCAGCTTATTTTTGTATTTTTTAGTAGAGATGGGGTTTCACCAAGGTCTCTATCTCTTGACCTTGTGATCCACCCACCTCGGCCTCCCAAAGTCCTGGGATTACAGGCGTGAGCCATCACGGCCAGCTGATTTGAGTGTTTTTAATTGTGGAATATATTACACAATCAGAAAAGTACATAAAATACAAATGTAAAACAATGAATTATTTTAAAATGACCACCTCTGAGGTTAGGAAATAGGATATTATAGTGGTCCAGTAGCAACTTCTTAGGGACCTTCACCAGTCACAGTCCCTCCCCTCCCACCTACAGGTAGCCACTCTTTTGATCTCCTTATTTTCCTTTCTGTTTTTACTACCCATGTCTTGTGAACCCATCACCTAAGTATTAAGCCCAACATGCATTAGCTATTTTTCCTGATGTCTCCCCCCGCCACCACCCATCCCCAACCAATAGGCCCCAGTGTCTATTGTTCCCCTCCCTGTGTCCATGTGTTCTCATTGTTCAGCTCCCACTTACGAGTGAGAACATTATAGTTTGCCTGGTTTTGAACACATGGAATCATAGGCCGTATCTTCTTTTGTGTTTCTTCATGATGTTTGTGAGATTCACATCCATGTTGTTACATGTGGTTGTCCCTTTGTTTTTGTGCTGTATGACATTCTATTTTATGAATATACCAGTGTACTTACCATTGTGCTATTGAGAATATCTGGGTTGTTCCCAGCTGGAGACTGTTATGGATAGTGCTGCTGTGTGTGCTTTTAGGGTACATGTGCATGCATTCTGCTAGGTATGTACCTGGGAGTGGGATTGCTGGGTCATGGGGTGTACCTGTCTTGAACTTTAGGAGAATCAAGCCAAACCATTCTCCAAAGCAGATATAATAATTTACATTCACACAAGTAGTGTGTGGGGCTGTCTGTTGTTCCATAGCCCCAGCAATGCTTGCTTGTATCAGACTTTGATGGTTTGGCTGTTGTGGTATGTAATGGCGTATCATTATGATTTTCCTTTGCATCGCCCTTACTGTTGAGACTAAGATGCCTTTTCATATGTTTATTGGCCATTTGGATAGTTTAGGGTTTTTTTGTCATTTGTTTGATGACATGTTTCATCCAACCTCTTGTCCCTTTTCCTATTGGGTTGTCTTTTTTGCTTTTAGACATTGTTAGAACTCTTTATTATTTTGAATATGGGCCCTTTATTCATTTTATGTTGCCTGCCTTTTCATTTTCTTGAGGGTGTCTTTTGATGAACAAATATTCTTAATTTTCATGTAGTCATATTTGTCTGCCTTTTCATACTAGGTACTTTTTGTATCCTATTTAAGAAATCCTTTCCTGCCCCTACTTTATGAAGCATTTCCCATATTATCTTCTAAAAGCTTTATTATTTATCTTTCACATTTGAGTATACAGTTCACCTGTATGATAGTGAATTTTAAAGGCAGAGGAGCGCTCATAAGTTAGTTAAGAATTACCATACACAAATGGTAATTCTTAACTAACTTATGAGTGCGCCTCTGCCTTTAAAATTCTTTAAATATTCTGTCCAGACTTTCTGGCTGTCCTCAGCAGAATGGTTGGTCTTCATTACCTAGCTTAGCATTCCCAGAAGCAGAACTCTCTTTTGAAGTTTTAGTTTCACTTTGACTTAAAAATGATCTGTCCCATCTTGTTAAGGGGCCTTAATGAATATGTTTACTAAAAAATAAAAAAAGGACTGAAAAACTATATAAATTCATGACTGTCTCTATTTTTTATTTTTTTAATAGACCAAAAAGAAGCTTCTGTTTCTTCTCTGCTTCCGTCAGCTATAAAATATGGTTAGACAATGTTAAGCTTGCTACATAAAATGAACATGGTTTTACTTATTGCAGGATAATTCAGAACATTAATCACAGGAAAAATTTAAATTAAAAAATACACACTATCAGACATGGACTTTGATAATAAAACAGCTTAACTAAGGCAGTGGCTACCCCCCTTTCTCTGTTTATCCATAAATTTAAACCTCTTTTTTGGCCAGAGATGGACTGTATGCAAACCGCATCCAGAATGCTTTTAGTTTGTGCCACAAAATATGAAGAAAATGTTTTCAGTTTATGGCAACTAGATCCATGACATATGATGCTCCAGGAACTGTTTTTACAGTGCGCAAGATGCACAGGAACAGAATAGCAAACTCACATGATAGTTGGCAAGGAAAACCTGGCTACGTGGCTGATGTTAAATTTGCTTTTTAAGACAGCCAGATCAAGAAATGTCTGAAGACTTTGAGACTGCAGTAGGGAGATGATTTTGCAGTTAGTAAACACAGCCCCGGGAACCCATGGCAAGACAGTTCTGGTAAGCCATTTACAGCTTCTCCTCTAGCAGGAGAGCGCAGTGGAGGTTCTGGAGAGGAAAACCTGACGTGGCCTCTAGAGAATGTTGCCCAGGGCAGTAGAGCCTCCCTGATGGCACTGCCGTCAGCACCAACCAGCACAGCCTGGCAGAACCCGCCTTGCCCTGGCCATCCCTGTCTCTCAGATTCACCACGGAGGTTAGCTGGGTTGTAGCCGAGCTATTAAGAGTAGGGGTTTGTGTTCTTCAAAGTTAGGGCGTAGGAGCCACACATTTCTTCTTGCCCAGCCCTTGCCTAGACCATTTTCTTTATTCAGTGAATGCTTTTTAAAGTGTGGTCTGAGGGTTGCTCCCTCCTCCCATTCAAGACTCTTTCAGGAGGTCACAACTATTTTAATATTACTAAGAATGCTGTATGCCTTTTAAATTCTTTCTCTTATGAGTGCCCATTGGAGTTTTCCAGACATGTGATACTGCAAAATATTGAATGCAATAGTATATATATTTGGGTACAGCTGTTGTTGCTCAAGCTAGACATGAAAGAAATTTGCAAATATGTAAAACAGTGGCACATTCCTCAAACTTTTAATCCTTTGAAATACCATTTTTAATTAAAAAAGCAATAGTTTTTTATTTTTATTATAAGTTCCAGGATACATGTGCAGAATGTGCAGGTTTGTTACATAGGTAAACATGTACCATCGTGGTTTGCTTCACCTGTGCACCCATCACCTAAGTATTAAGCCCAGCATGCATCAGCTATTTTCCTGATGTCTCCCTCCCCACCGCCCACACCCAGCCAACAGGCCCCAGTGTGCGTTGTTCCCCTCCCTGTGTCCATGCGTTCTCATTGTTCAGCTCCCACTTACAAGTGAGAACATGCCGTGTTTGATTTTCTGTTCCTGTGTTTGCTGAGGATGATGGTGTCCAGCTGCATCCATGTTCCTGTAAAGGACATGATCTCGTTCTTCTTTATGGCTGCATAGTATTCCATGATGTATATGTACCACATTTTCTTTATCCAGTCTATCATTGATGGGCCTTTGGGTTGATTCCATGTCTTTGCTATTGTAAATAATGCTGCAGTGAACATACACATGTACGTATCTTTGTAATAGAATGATTTATATTCCTTTGGGTATATACCTAGTAATGGGATTGCTGGGTCAAATGGTATTTCTAGTTCTAGGTCATTGAGGAATCGCCACACTGTCTTCCACAATGGTTGAACTCATTTACGTTCCTACAAACAGTGGAAAAGTGTTCTTACCTCTCTGCAGCCTCGCCAGCATCTGTTGTTTTCTTGACTTTTTAATAATCGTCATTCTGACTGGTGTGAGATGGTATCTCATTGTGGCTTTACATTTCTCTATATATCAGTGATGTTGAGCTTTTTTTCACGTTTGTTGGCCGAATAAATGAACTAATACTTCTAATGTTTCATAGTTACAATTTTTGGTATGGCAAATATTAGTAATAAAAATTAAGATAAACAAGAGCTCTTTGAGGTCCTCCATAATTTTCTTAAGTGTAAAGGGGTCCTGAGACAAAAGAGTTTGAGAATCAGTGCTTTAAATCCTGTCAGTTCCAGTTGGAATCCCAGTTTCTCTCTGAGGGTGGCACAGGTTGTCCAGCTCACCGTTTTCTCTGCATTCTCTAAACTTCTGTGCCACTCAGCTTAGTGCTTAGTTTTTTTCTCCTTATGTATAGCATAAGGCCCCTGAAAAAGGGGATCAGATCTGAAATGAGAGTTTTTTGAGACTTCCAAGGTATATAGTGCTGGGCACAGCTTAAACAATTGTTAATGATTATTCATATTACTATCATCATCGTCAGTGTTCAACTCACTGGTTTACTGGAGAAGCAATATGCATCTAAAAATTTGTGAACAACCTTACATCATAAAATTAATATGCAATATAGAAAAAGAATAAAGGTTTTTCTTTAATCACTAATAAATTGGTCACAAAAGTTAACATGTTAATCTACTTAATTATTTCTTTTAACTTTTAATGTAAATTGCCAAATTATAATTGCATATATTTATGGGATTCAAAGTGATATTGTGATTTATGAATATGATATGGAATAATTAAGTCAACCTAATTAACATATTTATCACCGCTAATCTATTTAATTCTTATGTGACCAACAATTGCAATAAAACCTGGACATAGGCCCTTGCTCTGAAAACTTGCTGAGCACGGTGTCATGTGCTTAGTAAGCATTCGGTAAAGCTGGTTGAGTTGAATCTGCTGTTTTAGTAGCTGCCTCTGCTGTTCTTGTAGCCCTCGGTGAATTCCCTGCCATCCCTGCCACTACCTATAAGTGATTTGCAGTTGTGTTTAGGCTTTCAGAAGGCAGTCTTACTTTCTGAAGCCTTTTCTATTAAAGAATTGACAGATTATTCTGGGGCCAGGCTGGAGGGCATAAATTAGTTGAGCAAGCTGGATTAATAGCCCAAGGTTGGGTATGAGTCTTTCTGATCATTCCTACTGTGGACTGAGTTTATTTTTCTTAGGCAGCCTTTCCTGACTTCCAAGACATAAAAATCAGGTTAACATTCTTGTGCCAGGGTCCTGCCATCAGTTTCCAAGTTTCCTTCACTGCTTCTCCCAGGAAGTCTAGGGATGCCATGCAAATAGCACACTGCCCTCATAGACTGTGACGGCTGATAAGCCACAGCTTTGTTTTCCTAAGCTCAGAATGTCATATTGTATTGAGTTGATTTTAGTTTTTTCATAAAAATGTGTGTGTTGATTCCAAAAGTGTTTATTGGGAATGTCCTTTGTGCTGACACTATATTAAATGACAGTGATAAGAAGGCTTAGACCCGGGAAGCTTATCACCTACAAGCATACACACACATAAGCAAGCCTAGTGTAAGTATGTTCCGAGTGCAGGTGCTCACTCAGGTGAAGGATCCGTCCACATCCCCTGTAAGAAGAGGGCGTCAGGAAATACTTTTTTTTTTTTTTTTTTGAGACAGTCTCTCTCTCTTGCCCAGGCTGGAGTGCAGTGGTGCCATCTCGTCTCACTACAACCTCCACCTCCAGGGTTCAAGCAATTCTCCTGCCTCAGCCTCCTGAGTAGCTGGGATTATAGGCACATGCCACCACCCAATTAATTTTTTTTTGTAGAGACAGGGTCTCACCATTTTGGTCAGGCGGTGATCCGCTCGCCTCGGCCTCCGAAAGTGCTGGGATTACAGGCATGAGCCACCGCACCTGGCGGGAAAGACTTCACCGAACAGGTTTCCCCAAACCCGTGTCTTGAAAGTTGAGAAGAAATTTGTCCTGTCAGTTGGAGGGCAGTCTAGGTGCAAGCAGTGTGTTCAAAGGCACGCAGAACCATCTGGCGCTCAAGGGAAACTGAAAACAGTTGGGTTCTGGAGGTGAAGGCAGTGGTGAAAGCAGGGACCAGGCCTCACCTATCACAGTGGGAACTGGGTTTTATCTACAGGGTGGATGAAACACATTGCAAAGGCAGTAAGAATTTGTTTTTTTGTTGTTGTTGTTTTTTTTTGTTTGTTTGTTTGTTTTGAGACAGAGTTTCACTCACGTTACCCAGGCTGGAGTGCAATGGCGCGATCTTGGCTCACCGCAACCTCCGCCTCCTGGGTTCAGGCAATTCTCCTGCCTCAGCCTCCCGAGTAGCTGGGATTACAGGCACGCACCACCATGCCCAGCTAATGTTTTGTACTTTTAGTAGAGACGGGGTTTCACCACGTTGACCAGGATGGTCTTGATCTCTTGACCTCGTGATTCACCCGCCTCGGCCTCCCAAAGTGCTGGGATTACAGGCTTGAGCCACCGGGCCCGGCCAGAATTTCTGTTTTTTAAAGATAATTCTAGTGGTGGTGAGAAGGGGTGGGTCTTGAGGGTAGGAAAACCAATTAAAAAGATAACTAACATAAAATGGTGAGAAGCTATGCAAGAAGCAGGTTAGTCAGTGCCACTAGGAGTAAGGAAGTACGTACTAGAATAGTTGGGGATTATAATTGACAGAGTTTGGTGAGAGGAAGGAGCTTCTGATGTTCGTAGACTTCTCATTTGAGTGGGATGGCAGTATTCCCAATTGAGGGAGAAAAACACGCTTTGGGGGAGGGTTGTTTTATTTTAGGGCCCTGTGGCACATGAGATGGAGCTGCATTAGGCAGCGTGTAGATGGTTCTGAAGACTGTAAGAAAGGTCAGCCCTAGAGAGAGATTTGGGAGTCATCAGGATCCAGGTGGAAGCTGTGTCTATGAGAAAGCATAAGAGCAGGCCAGGCGCAGTGGCTCATGCTTGTGGTCCCAACACTTTGGGAGGCTGAGGTGGGGGGATCACGAAGTTGGAAGTTTCAGACCAGCCTGGCCAACATGGTGAAACCCTGTCTCTACTAAAAATACAAAAGTTAGCCAGGCGTGGTGGCAGGTGCCTGAAATCCTAGCTACTCGGGAGGCCGAGGCAGGGGAATCACTCGAACCCTGGTGGCAGAGGTTGCAGTGAGCCGCAGTCATGCCACTGTGTTCCAGCCTGGGTGATAGAATGAGACTCCATCTCAAAAAAAAAAAAAGAAAAAAGAGAGAAAGCATAAGACCATGTGTGTGTAGTAAAAAGAGAAAGAGAAGTGTGGACTCTAGAGGAATACACCAATAATGAAAGGACAGGGAGAGAAAGACTGTCCTGTGAAACAGACTAGAAAAAAACAGACCAAGAGGTGGCGAAAGTACTGCCTTGGATTCTTCCAGGGGGGCAGGTGAAGGGCCTAAACCTGATTCTTACCAGATTGGGCATCAGAACTGAGCTCAATCTGTGAAGCCAGGAGTTGAATTTGGTTCCCTCTCTGTGACCCTGTCCCCCAGTCTGCCATGTACCGCAGCAGCAGCAGCAGCTTCTCACCTCCCCACCCACTCCAAACCTTGCCCATGATAAGAAGGCAGGTTGCAAACCCAGGGAAACAGGAGGACCTGACACAGCCAGGATACCAGGAACTAAAACAGGATATTCCTGGCCCAGTGGCTGGATCTTCAGTATCCTTACTATTAAGGTGGGAAAGGAGCTCCCAAATGTTCAGGTGGTTCTGGTTCGGATCTGTATTTATTTATTTTTATTTTTTTTCCTTTTTCTTTTTTTGTTTCTGTGTGTGTGTGTGTGTGTGTGTGTGTGTGTGTGTGTGTGTGTGTGTGTGTACAAAGGAGGGTATGGCTAAATTATTTTTTACTTATTTTGTGTTTATTTTTATGTTGGATTCTCTTTAGGAGCACTTAGACAGTGGTTCTGATTTTTAAATGCTAGAGAGAGGTTAAAGGAAGAACAGTTGAATAGTATCCATTGCATTGACACTGAGATTGATAGGGACAGAAATCAAGTCGGGATGATTAATAGGTGAATGAGAAATAGGATGTTGAGACCGCAGTTATAAACTGCTTTTTCAAGAAGCTTGACTAGGCCCAGCGCAGTGCTTCACACCTGTAATTCCAGCACTTTGGGAGGCCAAGGAGGGTTGATCACTTGAGTTCAGCAGTTCAGGATGAGCCTGGTCAGCATGGTGAAACCCCATCTGTATTAAAAATACAAAAATTACTCAGGCATGGTGGCATGCACCTGTAATCCCAGGTATTTGGGAGGCTGAGGCAGGAGAATCACTTGAACCCAGGAAGCAGAGGTTGCAGTGAGCTGAGATTGTGCCACTGCACTGCAGCCTGGGCTACAGAGTGAGACTCTGTCTCAACAACAACAAGAAAAGCTGGACTAGGAAAGAGAAGAGGGGAGGGAGGAGCGCAATAGCTAGAACAGATTTTAAGATTAAAGGGGATGTTTTTAGGAATGGACAGACAGTATTTTTACAGAATTTCTGAAGTGTTGAAGTGAAGTAGGGAGTGGCCTAAAACTGCAAAGATAGAATTTCTTGGAACGATAGTAAATCTCTTGTGTATTGGGGGCTAAATATAACCATCTTCTGCTTGTAGCAGATCTACCTCCACCTGTGCTCCTGTTGAGAAAAGGTCTGGCTCTATTGCCTAGCCTGGAGTACAGTGGTATGTTCTAGGCTCACTGCATCCTCTGCCTCCTGGGCTCAAGCCATCCTTCCACTTCAGCCTCCTGAGTAGCTGGGACTACAGGTGCACACCGTAATGCAAGGCTAATTTTTTGTGTGTATTTTTTGTAAAGATGGGGTTTCGCCAGGTTGTCCAGGCTGGTCTCAAACTCGTGAGCTCAAGCAATCTGCCCACCTCAGCCTCCCAAAGTGCTGGGATTACAGGTGTGAGCCACCACATCGG